TTTCCTTTATGTTGTTCAGGAAAATTCACCATCTGCTGCAAACAGTAAGAGAAGCTAATTGCATTGCAATTAACAGTTCCCTGCAGAACAGCAGCTGGAAGCTGCAGGCACTCTTTTGCTCTTCAAAGAAAGGGACAGGGGAAGAGCTTCACTGCAAAACCCAGGAAAGCCTTCACCAGGCAGAATGCTTGGGCTGTTGTGGTGTCTCTCTTCCTGACAAGTGTTATCTCTGTCATAACATATACCAGTGAGTAGGCAGTTTGGTTGAATGAACTCAATGGGACACACTTGGACCTGCAACAGGAGGTGTGGGAGTGGGGACATTGCTGCACCGTTCTCATAAAAGGACACAGGGGAACTGCAAAGCCCATGATAGTCTGGACCAGCTGGATTTCTTCCTCTCTTGTATAGGCCAGCCTTCCACTGACATGCATTGTTGGGCCCACAGCACGACACAGATGTGCAGAGGCTCTGTCAGGCCTCTGACAATGCAAACTGTGTGTCAGTGTTATCGGATGCACAGAGAGTGTGTCAGTGCACGCTAACTGCAACCCATTTCCTGCCTGCAAGTGATTTCATAGAGCCTTGGGTTGGTAAACAAGGCTGTGCCCCAATGTAGAGAAGAAGATAGGCTTTTCTCTAGGTCTGTCCATCCTCATCCAGGTGTTCTGTTGCTACCAAAATGAGAGTATCAGCTCTTCTCTGGCATGGAGAAGGTGAGTCTGAATCCGTACCTGCATATCCCACGGTGAATACCCTTCTCCTCAGAAATTGCTCCATGGTGCAGTCTCCCAAGAAGCAGTCCCAGTGCAGAACCAAAGGACACCTTTTCTTTCCTTGAGATCTCCCTTTGGAGGAAGAGAAGAAAGGTTACACAACTCCTCTCTGTCACACTACAGCAGACACTAGGATAACAAGTCAGCAGCTGTTCCCATACCTGGGCAACATGACAAGCAGCACTGGGATGAGCAGACAAGATTCCACATTGCAGCTTGCAGGGTTGGGAGTCTGTAAGTGTGATGATGTCTAGACAGGAGAGAGGCTCGGCTGAGGGGCACAGACACAAACATACACACCAGAGCAATCTTTCTCTTTGCCTTCATTTGGTCCCTCTTGTGCATCCCTATGCTGTGCACAGACTCAGGCTGCCACACAGCCCTGTCGTGCTCTTGTGATAACACTTATCTCCCACCTATGCATACACACACATAGATACAGCAGGAAGTCCATGGAGCAAGGCACATGCACCTCATGCCTGCATGCAGGTTTCATGCCCAACAATTCCCAACCAGACAGCTGCCTTCTCACATTTCAGGCTTTCTCACTGCCATGCCCACCCACAAAGGGACTTCTCTCTTCCTTTTTTTTTTGTTTTTTTTTTTTCTCCTGACAGGGTAGGCCCTTCAACAATCTCCAGATGCAGTCATCAAAGAGGGAGGAGCTGTGCCTCTCAGCTGTTGCCAACATGGGAATCACATGCCCCTACATGCCATGGTATAAGCAGGCTCAAAGAAAGGATACCATGCTGCAGCTGGTGGTGTGTTCAGTAGAAGGGGAAAAGGCAGAGTGTGAACATGAATTTTAGAAGCACTTCAAGAGCTGTGGGAGTGTGAGGTATCACATGTCCTTTTCAATAGATTTTTGCCTCAGTGAATGACTCTGGCAGGTATTACTGTGCTAAGATACACATTGATTCAGAGGCTGAGGAAGCTGAGCACAAATCTCTTTGTACAGAAAGTGATCTGTTGGCTGGGGAGATTCTGCCTCTTCTCTTTTTGGTATGATCAGTTGGCCATTGCCCACAGAGTTGAGGCCAGGGGTCCCTGCAACATCAGTTTGGGAGAACTAAAATTTTCCTCACACTATGACAAGATGCAGCCTTCTCTCTTTTCCAGTAGAAAGCAGAGTGGAGAGTGATGAATCAGTGTTATTTCCAAAAGTGAACAAGAGCCTGATTGTCAGGGATCTTCACCATGTATTTTCTCTGTGGAGAAGCTAGGACCTTGCAGACAGCCCAAGGCCAGCTGCACTTCTGGAACCATCCAGAGTGACTGGAAAAGCTGAAGACATTTTGTCGAGGGAAAGAACCTACACATGTGTGTGAGGCAGTGAAACAGAGCTGATGCTAGAGGGAAAGATGATAATGCCTCTCCACTTCACAGCAGAGACACACAGACTTTCTCTGCTGCCTATGTTTGTGCTGTTATTGCCAGTATCTCATATGTACATCATCATGATTTCTCTATTTCCCTTTTTTGTACAGCACCACAGGATTGAGGAAACTGTTAGCAATCTTTGAGAGGAAAATAACTATTCCCACTTTTGTGGAGACAGACAGGGGAAAACTTCAACATTAAGCATATAATACTCTCAAGAGAGACCAGAACATTCTATTCAGCTAGGGGTGTCTCTCTGTATCATGCAGCTATGCAATACCTGCATAGAAATAGCATGCAGCTAATAGCCTATGCATGAAGCCCTTCCCAGTAACACAGATTGCAGTCATGCAAGCACAAACTCAGGCGTCGCCAAGAATGAGGTGTCTCAGGAGTCTATTACATCAAAGGTATTTTATCAGGGTAAAGTCTCACAGCTGCAGACATATGCCCAGACAA